GAGGACAAGAAGTTAATTTTTGACATATTTGCCTTTCTCAGATCTTCCTGCCTGCATGAAAGTGATGTGTGAAATATGAAAGACCGTTTCCTGAATAAAAAATAAAAAAGGTAGGCCTAAATGCGAGTTTACATCTATGTTTTCACACAATTGCGAGAGAAAAAAGTTAGAATTATGAGATAAAAAGTCACAATTTCCTTTTTTTTCTTCAGTAGATGAAACAGGCTTCCATAGTGAAAAGCTAGTGGTTAGGGTTAATTTTAATTATTCATAGCAAGAGTGTTATTAATTTATGCAATTGTTATGCAGATATTGTCTAAAATAAAATATCATACATCATAGAGGACCTATGTTTAAGCAGGCTATATCTCTTAAAGGTGCCATGAGTATTTAAATCAGTGTTTATTACTTTCTGCGTAAATCAGGCTCATTAATTCAGTGATATTTGCTGGCCGCAAACAAGAGGCCTTAACAGAATTGTAGAAATGTTTGTGTAAATTTACCAGTGATGTTATGCATTAAGTTGATCAAATGAAGGGTATTATTATTTCCAGATCCCAGCAAGCACAGTCAAATAATGATAATTAAGCTACAAAAACAATCAGCATAAAAATCTTTTTGCTGAGTGAACCTTTTTCCTTTAGCTATGAAAAAAGACGATATGTACAAATGGCACTACTAGATTAAAATGGCAAAACACCTGGCAGTCATGTCTGTGTTTTGTTTGTCACATCGATGTGATCGGCGCTCCTCTGCTCTTCCTGGCACTCAATCATCATCGCGCTCTGGCATCCGCACATCTGCCTGTGGATCGCGGAAGCAGAAGTCGCTAGACATAAACGATAACAGCGTTTTGATATCGTTTTAAGTGGATTATTCTCAAATTTAGTGATCTTCATGCACATTGAAGACCTCTTAATGACTCTGTAGCGGCAGAAGACGCTGTTTAAAGGATTAAAAGGTATGTGAGAGTCTGATGTGTTTGAGTGTTTTCTTCTGGTTGATGTTTATATGGCAGTGTTTCATGTTTCTCTATTAATATTAGTTTTTTTTACTGTCATAACTAAGAATTTAATGCGTTCTAATGATACAAATGGTCATCATGTGTGTTATAAAATCTGGTAAACATCCATTGAATTGACTGTAACATCTATTGTGTTTTTAATTGATCAGGATGCTTTGTTATACAGATCTGCTGGATTTGACATTGCTCATTGATTCTGATTAAATGATCAAAGCCTTTGAATACACTACCAGGCATCAGATTTAACAGATGAGAGACTGCCACATGTGCATAGAGATAAACACAGTCTTTGAACCCTCACAATCATGATCTCTGATTTCCCAGCATGCAGTGCACAGCCTCCCCTCCTCAGGACCCCACACAGGCGAGCGGCGACCGGGCCGAGCTGACCCAGCTGCCCGCTAAAGACGCGTCCTCCACAGACAGCACCTCTGATCTGGGCAGCCCCAGAGTGCTGACCTTTGACCTGCTGAACATGGTGATCTGCTTCAAGCGGATGGCCATCTTCCTGGAGCCCGTCACAGACTCGCTGGAGGTGCTGCGGTACCTGCTCGGGTGAGAGACATCCCATAATAATCAGAACGGCTTCTGCCAGGTGACTGTATCATGTGACTCTCATGAGAAGGCTTTTGTTTTTACTCCAGCCGGTTACTAAACGCATCTCTGAATTATTGATCCTGCTGCCTGCGTGTATCCAGTATTCAGCTCTTTTATTTTTAGGTGGAGGATGCCGCTGTGCTCCCTGTTCAGCTGCGTTCTGCTCAACATCCTCTTCCTCACTTTGAGTGAAGGTGAGATACGAGAAGATGACATGTCTATGTGTGCATATATATTGTATACAGATGTACTATAATGCAGTAAGTGGTAACTGAGTGTCTCCTTGGTTAAAAATGTCCTCAGGCGCTTGGGTCACTCTGCTGCTGCTTGCCGTCTCCGCTCCGGCTGTGCTGGGTTACCTTGGCAACCGTTGCCAGGGCACGAGCAGTGAGATGGAGGTTCAGAAGAAGAAACACTTTGCGGTGCAGCGGCGAGACCTGCAGACGGTCCACATGAGCAAACAGGAGGCCATGCTGGAGGTCAAGGACATGTGAGTGGACGACACAGTGATGTTTGAGTGATGAGATCAGCGCTGAGACTGAGAGATGAAGGCTTGTGTGTGTTACAGGCTGAAACGAATAGATGAGCTTTTGACCCTGGCGTGTGTGTATGCAGAATCTGTGTATAAAGTGTTATACTGGGAGAGCCACGCCATGTCCTCCATGTGAGTATCACGCACATAGAAGCACATATGGATGTTCCTTGGTGGAAAATTTCTGCCAGTTTCTGCCAAAATAGTCAATACAGATATTTTTACTTTATGTCGTCAGTGAACTTGGTATTAACTACCACTGTCAACAAAAGAATTAAATAATATGATGAAAATCATATGATATGAAAAAGTTCTATTTATGTCTTTCTTCAGATAAAATATGAACAAAATCAAAAACTTAGCCAGGGAAGTTTCTGAATTTTGGTTGATTTGACACGGAATGACTCTATGGTATTTTGGCAGAAATTATGGTTACTATGGTACATTTTTGTAAAAGATTATGTATAGTGCAGCAATACTAACCTTAACGATAACGGAAGGACACCAACTGTAATTTACACATACACAGGGTTCGTACAGTCATGAAAAACCTGGAAAAGTCATGCAATTTTAAAACGGCCTGGAAAAGTTTTGGAAAAGTCATGGAAATTTATTTCACAAATCTCTGTATAATAGAATTCAGTAGTGAACCGAAGGCAAATTAGTAGCATTAATAGTCATTCATTTTAGTTAACATATGCTATGATGAATTTGAACATAGATTTTTATTCTTATTTTACCTGTATGCTTGTAAAAAAAATGGAACATTAGGTCATGAATGTTGTCTCAAAATGTCATGGAAAAGTCATGGACATTTATTGGTAAAAATGTGTCCAAACCCTGTGTATAATGTAATATTATTCATACAGTTAATGTTGTTTTGGTCTATTTTCTGTTATCTTTGTTTTAATTTGTAATGCAAAACGTCTAATAAAAGCAAAAAATATCAGTTAACTGTAAGGATTGTGAAGGTGATTGTAATGAGTGTTATTCTGTGTGGAGGTTTTACGGTTCTGTCCTGACGGCGGTTTGCTTGCTGTACATGGTTCCTGTGCGTTTGAGTCTGTCTGTGCTCAACAGCGCCCTCTTTCTGTGGAACAGAAACTTCTGCAGAGGTCAGTAAAGACATGACATCGGCCTCAGGTGACGTGTAAATGCAAAACTGGGCACTTTACATGTTGGTCAGAAGGTTATTGCTTCCGTGTGGCCAGACTTTATGCTGATATTAAAATGATTAGTGAATATATATATATATACAGATTCAGTATTTCCATTCGGTTTCACTTAGCTAGACATTCTCACACAGTTCCTTTCTCTCATTCCCTTTAGTTCTTTTGGAGCTGAAGGAGTTTGTTCACCCGAGTCGGGTCCTGCCTGCGGAGGAAACTGAACCATGTGACCCAAATCAGGCAAGCCTGCTAGAACGCACGCCCACTCCGACCAGTGTGGAGGTGAGAGAGAGTTAAAACAAACAAACTCTTGCTACAACCAGAAAACACATCTAGACAGCAGACGGATTATATTCAGTCTGCGCTACTTTGTCCAGATTTCTATTTCCAGTCCAGACTGACTTATTCTGTGAATGTGCTTCCTGTTCAGGATCAGTCTCCCGGCAACATTGAAGAGGCAGAGGAGGCGGAGCCTGATGATGAGTTTAAAGATGCCATTGAGGTCAGAAAAAATATCTATCTATCTATCTATCTGTCTGTCTGTCTGTCTGTGTCTGTCTATATATCTATCTGTCTGTCTGTCTGTCTATTTATCTGTCTGTCTGTCTGTGTCTGTCTATTTATCTGTCTGTCTGTCTGTGTCTGTCTATCTATCTATCTGTCTGTCTGTGTCTATCTATATATCTATCTGTCTGTCTGTCTATCTGTCTGTGTCTGTCTATCTATCTATCTATCTGTCTGTCTGTGTCTATCTATATATCTATCTGTCTGTCTGTCTGTCTATCTGTCTGTGTCTGTCTATCTATCTATCTATCTATCTGTCTGTCTATTTATCTATCTATCTGTCTGTCTGTCTATCTGTGTCTGTCTGTCTGTGTCTGTCTATCTATCTATCTATCTATCTATGTCTGTCTGTCTATTTATCTATCTGTCTGTGTCTGTCTATCTATCTGTCTATCTATCTATCTGTCTATCTATCTGTCTGTCTGTCTATTTATCTGTCTGTCTGTCTATCTATCTATCTGTCTGTCTGTTTCTTTTTCTGACATGTTCTCTCATTTCTGCTCTTTGCCTGCTCAAGGAATCTCAGCTTATTCTGCCGGTAAGTAGCTCCCTCTAGTGGTGTGGAGACTTATAGCATTAATGTTAGACCACAGCTGAGTGTGCAGATATAGCGTGTGTATTTATGAGTGTAGATATCAGCCTTCTCACTATCCAAGTAGATTTAGTCATGTGGTTTAGTGTGTATGTGTACATGTCTGACCTCTGACCTTTACTCTGCTATCCAAGGAAACTCCTCTGGCTTTAGTGGTGAGTAATAGAGTAACCCAGAGCATTTAATATTTGAGTAAATTCACAGTAACTCCAAATGAGTGAAGAAACATCCTGTCTTTGTGTGTAGTATGTGCGTGTGCATGTTTTTGCATTAATGTAAATGCTCTGAATGCATGTGCACAGGATTATGTATGTTTTAATTTTAGTAGGGTGCATCTCACAAAACCTGTCAAGAGATGTCTGGGGAAAAAATAATGATTTAGATAAGTTAAATCATTTTTTTAATGGATGCTTCCTTGTCTTTAAGCAGAATATCATTTATTTTATTTTGATTATGAGGTGAAATGTGACCTGGAAATATTCTTGTGAGATTCACCTGTATGTCTTGACTGTGTTCAGGTGTGAATTTAAAAAAAGATGTATTTCATTTATCTCATCAACTACAAATAACCTCAAACGAGACGCACAGTGGATCAAGATCAAATCCAGACCTAATAGTTGACTTCTTCAAGAATAATAATCGAATGTATCTTGTTATAAGAGGCATGAGTGTTGTAAAACTGTCCGGCCCGTGTTTTGAATTTAGGTGTGGCCTGTAGCCTTTTTGCTACCAAAGAAACTGAGGAGATGGAGAGCCCGTAAGGTGCCCACACACACCTGTCAATCATGATCTAGGTGTTCTAACCACACCCCCTCATGCCTTTATTCATTTCGGTAGCTTCTATTAACAGTGATGTCACAGGAAATGGTTACTTGGTGGAACGTCCTTCAGGTCAGGGTGGATTGTCACACTATTTCTTTGCGAGGTCTTGTTATGAAAAGGGTTGGGAATGTCTACTAACAAACATAATGATGAGATGGGCTACTTTATTGTCCATGTAAGAGGTATTCAGAATTCTGAAATACATTTATGAATGTGTTCAGTTTGGGATCTGAATTGAATTAACTTATTTGAAATGTGCCCAACCTTCACTAGAGCCTGTATTTCGAGGGCTTGTGGTGTTTTTATGGTGTTAAGTGCTGTACGGCACAGAAATCTGAGACCTCTCACCAGTCATCGGATGACTGCAGGAAACAAAGCTCAGCAGCAACAAACATGGGTCAGATTTACCGAAGTCGTCACACGTGCCGCTACAGGCGCAGGGATTCATCTGTTTCTAATGACTTCAGTGAATCTGATCTCTAAACCCAAAGCCCTCGACATACAGAGCGGAACTAACACAGAGAGAAAACCTTCACACACCTTCACATGAGGAGAGTGCACTGATTTATGTATATGGGTCAATGACGAGAGGATCTGGTGTAAAAATGTAGTTTAGTCGAAAACACATGTGCGATGTTCATGTTTTTGAAAAATGCTATACCACTTTCAATGAAAGTTTGGAGTGTATTAGAGTATGTAATCATGAATATACATTTTCTTGGCTCATACTATTTGATGTGCAAATTCCAAAAATTATGAAATATATTTTTTATAACTTAAATACAGTTATACTACCTTGACGTTTTTGACCATCAAATAAAGAAATAAATTAAAAATCAAAATAATTTTTTTAATCAATTTGGAAAAATCAAGTCATTCACCTATATATATATATATGTATGTGTGTGTGTGTGTGTGTGTGGAAAATCTCCACGTGTTTTTAGAGGTTGTGTGCAGGTTTTGTCATGAGAGGGTGGAAGTGAAAGATCTTTTGGTGTCGAGCTGAACATGAGAGCTAATGGGTTCAGATCTGTCACTTGTCATTTCTTCTAAATATGAATGTAATTCATTTATTTCTGTATTTCCATGTGTTTATCTGTGGTAGGATGATGAGGACGTGTCTTCTGGTGTTCCTGAGTTTGACACAGTGTCTGATAACGGGCTGTTGAGCAGAAACGAGCCCATTCGCAGTAAAGTGTCCAAACTCACTGAGAAACTTCGCAAGCGAGTCCCTGCCAACACCACCGGTCATTATAGATCTTTTTATACTTCATTCTTTTTGCATCCATATTATATCTTTAAAACCATATTTTCTTTTTGTCCTTCCACAGGGAACTGTTTCCAGTGCAGTTCAGCGTTTTCTGTTTTAAAGAAAAGGGTATGACCTCTGAGCTTCATCCTGTTGAACATGCTATTCAACTTGTATGATGTTGTTTCACTCATGATCATTGTCATTTTCCAGAGAAACTGCAGTAACTGTGGTGTCAGTTTTTGTTCCCGCTGTTGCTCGTATAAAGTGCTCAGATCCAGTATGGGAGCCACAGGTAGGAGAAGAGCATGTGAATCTTGTAAATAATGTTTTATTGAAGATGGTTTTACACAATGTTCTTTTTCTTTCTCTTGATTCTTCAGCTCCTGAGGCCCAAAGAGAGACTGTGTTTGTTTGTGCTATGTGTAATACTTTCCTCAGCACCAAGTAATGAAACAATGTTCCACCGTTGCAATCCTGTAAAAGAAGCTTCAGCGATTCTTGAGGTTTCATTCTTTCTTTGTGGAGCATTTCACATGGAGGACCAAAATCCTGCAGCTTATGTTGCCTCAACTCTCTTCCTGAGGTTCCTCAGAGTTTTTTGCTTGTCGAAAACATGTGAGGGCTCCTTTAATGGTGACTTTTTCCTTGGAATATGCTGCTTTCCCCATCCACCGCTAATATTTATCAAAGCCTTCACGCCAAGATTGATTAGTTTACTTGGAATTCACTATACTGCAAAATCAAATACTGTAGTTTCATCAACTCTTATTATGGCATCACTTTCCAGAATGAGCCCTTGGTGAGATATCAGTTTAATATCAAGGGCCCTGTTTATCTGTTGTTATTATTATATCACATCATCCTAAAGAGGAGAACAAGACCATGAAAATTATGTTGGTTATGTATTGCCTTCGATGCCAAAACCAGTGGATCTGAGCATTTTAGCTGGCTCCTATATATTGTTCCACATACTGTCAAATCTGATTAGTTTAGTTGACATCAATAACTTAAGAAAACGAGTCAGTTTAATTCTCTCTTAACCATTTTAACTAATCAGTTTTTACAATTTAACCTTCTGCTAGCTGCTTATCTGCTTTAAACCCATGATTTTTGGTTATATAATTTATTTGTGTAATTTTGTCTCGAAAAAGGTTTACTTTATATATTTATGTATGTTTGTTGTTGGAACGTTCTCAGAAAGCATTTATACTAATCAAAATAATGCCATTATATTAGTCTATCAGATCCTCACAAGAGTTCTCCTGTTCGCTTTGTTATTGAACGGATGAGCCATGTTCCTGTGATTTTATTGGTCTTTAAGCCAAGGTTGAATGTAAAACCAGTGTTTTACGGTTGTAGAGCTATGTATGTCGTACTACTGTTATTTAAACATATATTCAGATCCTTTGGGTAAGTTATCCATAGTTTAACACCGTTTGTTTCCTTGGTTAAATCTTCTGTTACAGTAATAAACCATCTAAATTTGAATATAGCCGTGTGGAACTTCTGTGAGGAATTTTCGCGCCCCCGTCTGTATTTTGGCGCCTCACACAGTTGGCCAACTGTCATTTACCTTAAATACATTTTAAACTAAACATTGCGTTTTTGTGGTTATATCTGTGATGTGAATGTCTATAATAAAGTTTATAATGGCGGTTTTGTCGTTCTCCCGACCGTTTTATACTGAAAAGCGCTCGTTCTGACGTATTGTTGCTATGGTTACCTCCCCAGGCGAACGTGACTTCGTGAACGTACGAAAAAAACTGGTTGGCTGGTCTTTAGCTGAAAGTAAAGAAGCTTAGACTGGTTTTAGCGGTGTTTTTTTCAGCTGACAAATTTATATAGTAATGCTTACTTGTAATTAGTGAAGAGGCTGTTGAAAATTCTTGAGAGCGGCATCAGTTGCTCCTCCCCTCGCGCGTCATCACATTGTGTGATTGTTTCCGGCTCCGCCCCCTCTCCGTTCATCCCCAGGCGCAACCGTTTATTCCCGTTTCACTGAACGGTTTCAGCACCCGGGACAAGCATCTCGCGCTCGCATGGCAACATGGCCACGGAGGTGAGAAACAGCCCTTTATTCATCATGTTTGTACCAGCTGTGGGTGATACGACCCGTTTTTGTTAGATGAGACCGTCTGAATCTCGGCGTCGTTTTGATCGTTTAAAATCAGTACGTGACGTTACAGACAATCGAGAACAGCCGTTTCACGCGTAGTTTTTAAAAAACAACCGTTTATGACTAGTGTTCACAACCCATAATTAATGCACAGAATACAATAAAGTAAATATACAATACAGAGAGTGAACGAAACAGCTACAAGTGAAGCGCAGCGTCGAGCATGACTAAGATAGATAGATAGATAGATAGTCTGATAATCTAAATGACCTGGTTTTAATCCAGTCAAATGTTATTTATCTGGACTGAACTGACTAGACTAAAGGGTGCGCGATCAGGTAGAGATTTACGTGATTTATTCTAGGTGACTAGTTTAGAAGTAGGCTAATATTGACTGATCATTAGGTTGTTGTTGTTTTCTTCAATGCCAGATCGAGTGTTGCTGCTATCCAAATAAAAGAGGGAGATACGAGATACTTTTTAAGTTTTGTAATGATGAATATTATAAGAGAGATAAAGGCTCTTCACTACTGCTCTCAGGTCCTCTCTTGCTGTTTATAGCTGACACAGAGTGTCGTGATCGCCTGAAATGCTGTTGCTTAGATAGATCTATAAAAGAAAGAGTGTGTTTTTAAAGCATTGTGTTCAAGATGACAAAGGCTTGTTTGTGGAGTCTGGATCTGGTGCGAGTGTGACGTAGCTGGACATCAAAGAGGATAAAAGCGACTGTCCGCGGGTCGATAAGCTCTTTGTGCGTCTCTTTCATCGGTGACCGGATCAGGAATGAGTTCAGCACCGCGGACAGCGACGGAGCGAACAAAACTCCCGTACTGCCACGAATCTGTAAGCGTTTTTTTTTTTTTTTTTCAGTTTTGAAAAGCGATTTAACTGGCGATATCTGATTTCGTGTTGTGGTTTCCTGTGGTTGGGATTTAAATGTGATTTCAGAAGTTATTCTGAGGCTTATTTAAAAGTCAAATGTGTGTCCCGCCGAGTAACCTTGAACGCGCGCGCGATTGTGGTTCGAGCGCGAGATCTCAGTTTAATCTCATGCGTGCGGAATACAAACGTACTTCTCTGGGTGACGGTCAATAATCATTCTGCACAGGCTACACCGGCTGATTAGATTGTGTTTTGATATATTTGGTATCAGCGGTGAGCGCGTGTTAAATGATCGTCTCCTCGCGATCGATCGGTTGTGCTCGCGGGAGTCGGTAGCAGTGTCTCTCATCTTTCTGAGACTGTTACCGAGTGCTGCTTGCATGCATAATTAATGAGGCGTTTAGTAACAATAGCCCAGAACGTTTAGCTGTGATAAGTCTCGGTTTACCCGTACAATAGTGGCGGTAACATAGTACAATGATGGTATCAGATGGTGTTTACATAGAACTGTGAAGTACTTAAAAAAAAACATGGTGCTAGCATGCTCCCAAAAACAAAAGTACCTAACAAAATTTTGCTAGTACATTGTCCATGGTCTGTGTATTCTTTGAACTGGCATGCAGTTTTTTATGAATGTGTTAGTAAATGCATACAATGGTTTATACTGAAGTATCATTCTTTCATTAGATCTATTCCCAACATCGTTTAGTTCTAGATCCTGAGTATATTTTTGGGGAGTTCAACAGGAAGAAGCCGTGTTTTGCATTCATTTGACATCGCATATGCCTTTTATCTGAGCTGTGCAAGAATTCTTGAGATCTGTGCAAATGTTCAGTGCCAGAGACTGATAGTACCCACAGCATTGAAGAGCCATGAGTCGAGACTGCATGTGTGTGTTGGAACCAGTGCCTGCTGTCTCAGCCTGTTACTATATCAGAGGGAGCCATGCATTGTTTAACATCTAACAGCCCAAGGAAACTGAATTTATGATTAGATCAGAATGCAGCGTGCTGTAACCCCTCTCTCATTCTGCCGTAGTTCCATAACCTTCAGGAGTTGAGACACAGTGCATCTCTGGCCAATAAAGTCTTCATTCAAAGAGACTACACGGATGGCACCGTCTGCAAGTTCCAGACCAAGTTCCCCTCTGAGCTAGAAAGCAGGGTAAGTGTGTGTGTGTGTGTGTGTGTGGCAGAACAAAAGAGACACAATGCAAGTAAAAAGGAGAGGAAAGAGAAAAAGGCTCTTCACTCAGAGAAACTCTGCTCTTCAGCAAAAGCACTGCTGAGTGCGCAACTCCACACAACACACACATAATGAGCTGCTAATAGAGCTGTTTAAAGGTGTAAGATCATGTTACAGACAGCCAGTAAAGGCAAAGGGAGTTCAGCATGTAGAGATTTCAGTGTCATTCTCACAATCTGTTTATTTATTTTGATGCAATCAAGTTTTTTATCATGTGATGTCCAGCCTGAGACTGATGTCTTTACAATGTTCAAACCCAGTAGTTTCTGCCATATAATGTCCTTGTGTGAACTCGCTGGTGCTCTCTGATTGGCTGACTCATCTTGTCCTTGCACCTGATTGGTCAGATTGAGAGGACACTGTTTGAGGACACGGTGAAGATGCTGAATAATTACTATGCAGAGGCGGAGAAGATCGGAGGCCAGTCCTACCTCGAGGGATGTCTGGCCTGCCTCACAATTTACCTCATATTCCTGTGCATCGAGACACGCTATGAGAAGGTATGTTATCAGATTCAGATAAACCCACCCTGAAAATGGCAGGTAAAAATAAAACGTACGATCAAGGGTCGCTTTATGTGTTGGTTTTGCAAACTATGGCAATTAAAAATGATGCTGCTGGTCAAAAGTATGCATGTGTGTGTGTGTGCAGGTGCTGAAGAAGATCTCGCGGTACATTCAGGAGCAGAATGAGAAGGTCTACGCTCCTCGAGGTCTCCTCATCACAGACCCCATAGAGAGAGGCATGAGAGTCGTATCCTTACAGAGTCTGCAAACTTCTGTGTGTGTATGTGAGCAAATGGTCAGTGGAAGCTGCTTGTTCTTCAGAAGCAGTTGTTAGTCCACCTTAGGATGTTGCATGAACTCTTTTATTATGTCTTCATTTTGTGTGAGTTTTGCAGTTATTGGAACCCTAAAGACAAGATTGTGATCAAAATGTGGGATGTAGCCAAATATTGTTTTTGACGTATATATTAATTAAAATGTATTTTAATTAAAATGTATTTTAATTACTTTAACAGATTAAGTTGAATGACAAATAAGCTCAATATAGTTTTATTATATTATTATACTTCGTAATTAAAGATAAATATATTTAAGATGTATTTTTTAAACATATATATATATATATATATTACAATTCATTAAATGTAAATTCAACAGATTATGTAAAATCTCAAATAAGCTAAATCTTGTTTTTGTAATTAAATTAATTTCTTGATAACACTATATAATATTTATAATTTCATAATTGTATTATATTATTATTTATTTTTATAATAAAAAAAATTTTCCCCCACAATTGAATATAGATTCAACATATTATGATGAATGTCAAATAACCTAAATATAGTTTTCATCAATAAATTAAGATATGTAATATTTAATATTTTTATAATTACTTTTTTGTAATACATAGAATAGCAATTCAAAAGATTATGTTGAAAGTCAAATTATGTTGTTTTATGATTTTAATTGTTTAAAAAGTCAAGAGGGCCAAGACTTCTAATGTGGGACAGATCAAAATCACCATTTTAAGGGGTCAAACAGACATTTGATGTGTTTAAAACTAGCTATTTTTCATGTTAGGTTAATTTAATGTGAGAAAATAGTTTATATAAAATATCCAAAAAGCTCTCACTATAAATAATTAGTCAGATTTGTGCCTTTATTGCTTTATAACAGTAATTGGACCAGGGTTATTATCGTTAAATAAAACTAAATCTAAAAAACATTTAACTAACCATTAAATAACCATTAACTGAAATAAAATATAAAAAACATAATAAACTTAGTAAAACTATAATTAAAAAAAACCTGTAACAATACCAGAAACGCACAACAAAATTTCTAAAACTTTATATAAAATTTGAATGAAAACAGAAAATGTAAAAAATAAAATCTAATTCAAAATATTAACAAAAACTATAATATCAATGCATATCAATGATATTTAAATAACACTGAATTTGACGTTAATTTTAATCATAATCATGGCAAGTTTTCTAGTAAGAGCATGTATGTGTAAAGTTATTTCTTTAACTAGTTTGTGCATGTAAGGTTGTGTAATGCTGTGATGTTTCTCCCTTAACCCGCGTGTGTTAGATTGAGATCAGTGTGTACGAGGATCGTGGCTCCAGCGGTTCAAGCTCAGGAAGCAGCACAACCAGCAGCGGACGCTGATTCACACACACACACAAACACACACACACACACACAC